AAGTCAGGGAATTTCAGCCCAGGTCTCTGGTAGAAGCCATTCAATCAGAAGTATATTTTTCTGAACTGAACTGATTTAACACACTGTTTGCTTGCATTGAGTGAAGAGCCAGCCTGCAGCCCTTTTCACAGCAAGATGTAGGTAGAATCCTGACCCAGAAGCCCCGCCCAGGCCTGCTTCTCTGCTTCCTGGAAACACTGTTTAGAATCTTGGCTGGAAATTCAGTGTGGTAGAAACACTGAGGGGTTCTCCACTCTGCCAGTACATCCCCAACAGCAACAGGTATTATCAGGGCTAGGCACCAGCGGCTGCGGGCAGGGGAACTGGTTGTGTTACCCAAAGTAACTTGGGAGATTCCACTAAGGGAGTGACTAAACCCTACTGCAGAACCCTTATCTGATACAAGAACAGGGCCCGAGAGAACTCAGGACTTCTTTCTTATCTGAGACCCTACTTCAAAAAGAAGGGCTGCAAGGAGTCGCCATTCCCACCGCTGCCTGGCCCACGCCACCACTGTCTCTTGTCTGGGTGAATCCAATAGCTGCCTCGTCGTCGTCCTCCTTCTATCCATGCCCCCTGTTTTCCTTAAGTCTGGTCTCACATCAGCAATCAGAGACGATTTTGTGCCTTTGGAAGGACCTGCAATGGCTCCCCATTATACTTGGAGTAAAAGCTGAAGTTGTGACAATGGTCTACAAGGCCCTTACCGTGTGAAAACTCCTGTCTGTACACCTTGAAGATACCATGCCCCAACACTGCATACTCACAGACCTGCCTCTCCATGCACCCCCTCAGGGAAGTCAGCCCCTCTGGTCTTCTTACCTCCATTCCTCACCTTGCCCTAGTCCTGCGGCTCTCTGTCTGGAAGGCTCTTCCCAGATCCCTGAATGGCTATCCCAGATCTCCCACTGTGTGGGCTTCCCCTGATCATCCATTTAGAGTGGCCTCCTACTCTCTGGAACACCTGCTTGTTTTCCTCCGGGTATCTACTATCATTAACAGATCACCTATATGCTATATAAATTTTATATCATATTTATGTATCAAATGTTTCCTTATCTCAGTAGAAGTAAACAAAGACTAAGCCCTAAGGGAAAAGTAAAGACAGTTAAAGGAGTCAGCCATCATTACATGGGTTTGGTGGAGGCAGAAGGCAGGCAGGGGAGAAGGAAAACTTAAGGGGAAAAAGAGATTTGGGGGCTAAAGAGATGGCTCAATGGCTAAGAGCACTGACTGTTGTTGCAGAGGATCTGGGTTTGGTTCCAGAACCCACATGGTGGCTGACAATTGCCCTTAACTCCAATTCTATGGAATCTGATGCTCTCTTCTGACCTTTACAGGTATTGCATACATGTAGTACACTTAAATACATGTAGGCAAAACATACACATAAAATAACTGTTTAAAAGGCAGTTTCTTCAGGTATGCCTTCTTCAAGGCTGGTGGCCTGAGAAGCTGTGGGTAGCTAGACAAAAGCAGGAAGTTCTTTGTCACTGGTGCATTGTTAATTTTCTCTGGTTGACCTTAACTCAGAACCAAGGCCTGGCTGTTTGGAGACCATTGTTACAGTGGTTATTGTTTATCAGCCTAAGCTATTATTATCAATAGTGACCTTGCCCCTACTGACATCAAGCAAGCAGCTTCCTGGGCCGAGAATTGTGGTTAAGCATGGATGGCAGGTTGTGGGCTGGAGTATTGTTTTTGTATGTGACCCAGTCATTATTTTCTTAGTCAGTCTCTCATCCCTCACTAGAATATAAACACAAAGAACTCTGCTTTATTTACAGCTGCATCTCCAAAGCCCAGAACAATGCCAAGTACTTCCTAGGCACTCGGTAGGGATTAGCTGATTATGAGGATGTTTATCTAGATCTAGATGGAAAAATTGTGACTACCATCCATGAGTAGAAAATGAGCCTCCAGTCTACCTGCCCAGTCCTACAAATATTTGCTGAGTGCTTGCTACATGCTGTCTCCACTCCAGATTATGCTACACTCCAGATTATGCTACACTCCAGATTATGCAAGACAAGCGTTGCCTACAAATGGATTGCAGGCCAGAATCTCAATGCTTTGCCCAATGCTCAGAACTTCTCCCCACTTTAATTTATTTCCACCCCTTCAGGTTCAAGGTCTTCTTTACACTGGAAGGCACTGCTCTGGCCCAGGAGACTTCCTCCAGCCCTCATTTACTTTTGAAACGTTCCCATGTTAGCAAGACATGAAAGCAGAAGGGAGACCATTTGAGGAGAGGAGGGGACTAGCAGTAGAGGAAAACAGGGTGGTGGAGGGTCAGGGGGTGAACAGGCGCTGAGTACAATGATACATATGCCTGAAAATATCATGGCGAAACTGTAGGCTTTGTTTATTTGTCTGTTTTGCTTTTTTCAGACAGAGTCTCACACTGTAGCCAGATCTACTTGGAATTCACTGTGTGGCTAGGTTGGTCTTAAAATCAGAGTGATCCTCCTGCCTCAGCACCCCCAAGTGCTGAAGCCCATTATTTTATATACCAAATAAAAAATTAATTATAAAATGGTAAGCAGGGGCTGGAGAGATAGATCATCAGTTAAGAGCACTGGCTGCTCTTGCAGAGGACCCAGGTTCAATTCCTAGCACCTACATGGTGGCTAATAACCGTCTGTAACTCCAGTTCCATCCGTAACTCTCTTCTGACCTCTGCAGCATTGCGTAACATAAGTGCACTTACATGCAGACAATACACTCATACACATAAAAATAATAAATATTTTAAAACAAAAAGGTACATCAAGAAAAAAATGCCTGTGTATTGGAGTTTCTATTTCTATCCCTCCCTCTCTCTTCTACTCCCTCCCTCCCTCCTCTTTCTCCAGAGTTTCATTATGTTGCCCAGGCTGGCATGAACTGATGGACTCAAGGGATTCTCCTGCCTCAGCCTCCTGAGTAGTCGGGACTGCAGGTGCTCACGACTGCAGAGCTCTTGGTGTCTCCTTCATGAACTGGTTATCTTTTGAGTTAGATTATTACCTTCAAGCAAGAGCCACATCTTGTCCCCCAGAGGTGACACATAGGACAGTCTGGGTGATCCGGTTCTCCCTTCCCCCTTTTGACTTTTCCCTGGGGTCCAGATAAAATAACTCATTGGCCTCAGGATTCTTCCACCTTCTGCACAGAAGTTACCATGTGAGGTTGTAATCATAGTATGGTGGCTTGATTACAAAAGGCAGGACTCTTACTTTGGCATCTCCACTACTTTCTGACAAAGGTCCATGTACACACACACACACACACACACACACACACACACACACACACTCACGCATGCACACATTAGAAAAATGGCAGACTGAAGGGAAGTCCCATGTTTTCTCAGCCTTTAACCTCAGTCTCACTAGATCAAATATGCAAAAAAGTGCTGTCTCCTCCAGGCTCCTCCTGTGGTCATCAAGGAGGACCCCAGCTCTTCACACAGGGCTCATCCTTCTCGAAGTCCCAGTCTCCTGCCCAGTGTTACCTGCACCCACCTCCTGTTACCCTGAATGGCCTTGTAAACCATTATTTTGCTTGCATGGAAGCTAAGAGCTTCTGAGGAAGGCATTTTAGTTTGAGCCCCACAGCTTGAAAGTCTGAAATATGTAATCATAGCCACTTCACCCACTTTCACCCTCACAAGGAAATAGCTCAGCCTTCTTTTGCAAAATCTAAACTCATTTAAGGGAGTCCCCATCTAGGTCAGTTTTACGAACATCTTCATGAGAAGCTACACTGGCTCAGGCACCCAGAAAGCCAGCCACTGTGCTCTTTGAAGTCTTCCCCCAGGCTGCTCTGGGCCTCCCCAGCTCAGAGTGGGGTGCTGCTTTCATGGACCCTCATTGGCCCTTTCTGGTAGTTATTAGACTAAGGAAGGCATCAGCAGCTGAGGAGCAGTCACAGAGGGAAACAGAGGCTTGTGCTGTTTTTCTTGGCTTCCGTTGGAAAAGTCCCATTGTGACATCTTTCACTTTCAGTTCAGTGCTTAGACCAACAGGGAGAGTCTGAGGTTTACTGCTGGGTAGAGCTTCCCAGAGTATTTACATTCAGAGCCGATGGCGAGAAGTGGGAATAGACAGGCAGGAGCTGTAAGGATGGTATGATTTAAGCTTTGAGAAAAAGAGTGATTTCACTTCAAGGATTGTTTTCATCAGAATGGCTAAAATGAAAAGAACTGACAATCTCAAGAGTTGATAAGTTGACTGAAATGTTCAGTCTTTGATGCTAGAGTGTACACTGGAGCCACCACCTCTCCTCTGACTGGAGCAGGATCACACCGGACATGATGAAACCGGACCACTGCTATGATGAGGTATGGAGGCATCTCTGAGACACGACACTGAGTGAAGGGAGCCAGGCAGAAAAGAGCATGCTCTGTGAATTCTTGAGAATTTTACATAGACAAAGCTAATCTATGATGATAAAGAAAACAGTGGTTGTCTTTGGGAGAAGTCTACCTATTATCAGGTTGAACACCTTAGATCTGCATGCTTCATCAAATATACATCAATGGAAAGTAAAACAACAAAAAGCTGCCTATCGTGTTTTCTTCTTCCCAAATAAATGGCTCATCATGTACTATCTACTTTCAAAAAGATTGGTGATCACCCACAAAGGTGTACAGTGTTGACTTGTATTTTAAGTAAGGGTGTCTGAACTTAAGGACAGACATAATAGAGAAAATCAAATGTGAGGACTGGCCACCAGAGCACAGAACATGGGCAGCTTGGGATTCAAATGTCAGCACTCCCAGCTCATGAGCACGGGTCTCTGAGTCAAGAGAGAAAAGTTTCTTGCACCATTTCAGAAGAAGGCCATTGTATGATCAAAGCCCCTTTTGGGGCTATTTTTTAATGTTTTATCAAATATCCCATTTAGGAACCTGGATGTCTGAAGCCCTTTTGCCCACATTTCTGCACCTGCACCCAGCCCATTCTTATGCCCATGGAATTTAGGGTGGGGCATCACCCCAGGCTTGCCCCTGTCCCTCACACAGGCTTACACACAGGTAATTTTCCCGCGTGTTTAGGGGTTGCCCTTCCCACTGGGTTTCTGTTCTTTGGGGTGTCCAGCTCATACTTCCAACTTCTGGAACTGGGGCTGACGTCCTGGGCTTGTGCATGGCCTCTTTCCTCAATGGTGCTCTTCTGTGGCCCCCTCTTTTCATCAGCAGCACCTCTCTGCTGGGGGCTGGACTCTGTCCATTTGGGCAGTTGAGTTAATGGGCCTTTCCACTTTCTGGCTCCAGTTTTTGAGTTGAATTCATATATTTTCCCGGTCACTAGGAGGCAGAAAAACCACCATCATATAAAAGAAGAAATTGACTAATTCAGCCTTGTCCTCACTTCTCTGCTGCGCTGTGATATCTGGGGAAGGCTGAGGCAGGCTGGAAGGATAGGAAGGTTTGGAAGGCTCTGCCGCCATCTCACTTGCAGGATGAGCTGGCCATGTAAATTTCAAGCTCCTTGTGGGCATGGAATAAATTAGGTTCAATTTCTAATAGTTACCATTAGGATCTTGATTTATTTTGTTTTAAAAGACCCCTGAATCCTGGCCATAAAAAGGAATTCATCAAGTAAAAGGGGTGCGGGAGCCTTTGATTCTTACTTATGTGAGGCTGGCAGAGAGGTTGGCAGAGATTAGTAGACACAGACACACAGATCTGGCCTGGCTGGAGATGAGGAGAGAGAACCAATTTTATTATGTTGGAGCCAGCAGACACTAATTGATGTTTGTTCATATTAGGCCAGTTGGCTCATTTCTTCCTCTTTTTCTTCTCTCAAACACACAAGAACTGCAAAAGTCCTCCCTGGCCCTTGCTTTGCAAGCTGGGGTTTGAGGCAAGCCCCAGCTCCTGCCACCACGATACAGCACAAGTGGCCTCTCTCGGCTCAGGATCCCACCAGCACTTATGCTAATGTGGGCACATTATGGTAACAAGTACCTAATAATAGAGGGAAATTTAATTCCAATAGCAGCAGCTTCTCGCTGGAGAGGAGCCATCCTCCTTCGGAGGACTGGAGCCGTTTGCATATGAGGGTGGCAGGGAGCCAACACACTTGCCTCCTGAATTTGGTTTCCTTCCCTTTATTCACATCTATAATTGAGCCTTTGTAAGTGGAGGGATGTGTGTAAAGGAGCTAAATTTGGAGCTGATTTCAGGGGGGCGATGAGAGCTCTGGAGGCCAGCTTTACCTTATGGTTCATCATGTTGACCTAGAAGAAAGTCTTGGCCCTGATTGAGGGGAAAAAAGAAGCCAAACTTGCTATTTCTTCTGCTACTAATCGGATGTCACTAGAGTCTTGCGGGGAGGATGAGGATAGGCAAGGGAGGGCTAGTGAGCAGAAAACAAAAAGTGGCCTCACTAGTTTCCTAAATTGGTTGGTAAACAGGCAGTGGGGGAAGAAAGCATGTCCTAGAGAGTAGGCTGCAGGTGGGAAACAGGAACTGGGCCTGCAGGTCTGCCCAGCTGTGTTCAGAGCTCATCTCAGTCATTTTTAGCCTAGAAGGGTCAGCTTCACACCATGGACAACATGGCCAAAGGTACTGACCAGCAGTTAAGAACAGGACAGTGGAGGGGCTGGAGAGATGACTCAGCAGTTAAGATCACTGACTACTCTTGCAGAGAATCTGGGTTCAGTTCCCAGAATCCACATATCAGCTAACAACCATCTGTTATTCCAGTTCCAGGGGATCTGACATCTTCTTCTGATCTCTGAGAGCATTGCACAACACAAGTGAACTCACATACATGTAAGCAAAACACTCGCACACATAAAATAAATTTTTTTTAAAAAAAGGAGTAGGGCACTGGACAGACTCTTCCTGACTCTTCCCGGAGCACACAAAGCATTCTGGTGAGTGGTATTGCCATTTTGGTTACCTGGGTCTATGGCTTCTCCATCAAAGACAGTATTGATCTGGACAGATTCCTAAGGAAAAGAGAGATTACTTCAAGCACAACCCTATGATCTTCTCCAGGCAAGACCCCTATCCTTATGGCTGAGCTCTCTACTCAAAGCTTTTTTTTTTTGAAACAAGGTTTCATGAAGCCCAGGCTGGTCTTGAACTTGACATGTAGCCAAGAATGAACTTGGCTTCCTGATCTTCCTGCCTCTAACTCTCAAATACTGGAATTATAAGCATATATCACCACACCTGGCTTTCTTTGTCCAAATCTTTGTGATATTTACTCACCAGGTACTGGGTCAAATACTGGGGACACCATAGTGAATAAGGCAGGTAAGGCTGTCTACATAAAGTTGCCACTGATAAACAGGGGCTACAATGTAGTCACAGGGCTTTGATAGGAGAGATGTCAGATGCTATGGATATAGGCAGGAGTTAGGGGACAGTTAGTCCAGACCTGGGGGTTAAGAAAGTGCCCTGAGCAAATGATATCTAAGCTGTGTAAAATTGAGAGTACCTGAGGCTCACTTTGCCTCATAGGATCACTGTCAGATCAGGCAGATTTGTGAAATGGCACAGGAGCATCCACTTGGAACCCTGTCACCTCATCCTGGCACTCTTACCTTCTAGTACCTAACCCCACTGCCTGTCCTCTTAGAAGCCAACAGTGTTGCCTTACCCTCCATGATCTGTATTGTATGCCATCCTCTAGACCTGAGTTCCACCTATGTTCCTGTCCCAAATCTATGGACACTCCTTCACTCCATGATTCCCTCAAAAAGTGACAAAGTCAAGGTCTTCAGCATGCTAGTGAGGAGCTTTTTAGAACTCAGTGGGCCTTTCAACAGGCCTTTCATCATGGGCATGAATACCTATTCACTTCTTCACAGCTCCCTGATGCTAAAGAGAAGTGGGAATTGTATGGGTTTCATCTACTGGATCACTAAGCAGCCCCACTTTTTGAGCCAGGGTGTCCCTATAGACTCAGCTGGGCTGGAACTTACTATGTAGACCAGGCTGGCCTTGAACTCACTGAGATCCACCAGCCTCTGCCTCCAAATTGCTGGGACTAAAAGCATGTGCCACCATGCCCGGCCTGCAGCCCCACTTAAAAAAATATTTTACTTATTATTTTTATTCTATGCATATGAGTGCATTGGGTGCATGTGTATAAGTACATCCATGTTGTAAGGTGCCAGTGGAGGCCAAAAGAAGGCATTGAATTCCCCTGGAACTGGAGTTACTGATGGTTGTTAGCTGTCATGTGGGTGCTGGGAATCGAGCCTAAGTCCTCTGCAGGAGCGGCCAGTGCTCTTAATCACTAAGCCATCCAGCAGCCTCCAACAGCCCCAATTTTTATGTCATGGGGGTTTAATAGACCAATGAGGCAAATGCTAAGGCCATCTTGGAGTGGCATCCCCAAGGGTACTTCCCATAGACAGTAAGACCCTGGAGACCAAAGACTACCCCTTCCTCCCATTAGTAGACATATCTGAATGCATAAGCAGTAAGATGATGAACGTAAACCTACTGCCCCCCACCCCCATTCTCCCAATCGACTTCTTCATGATGCACATTCACCAAATGTATGTGTCTTGGATCACAAAAAGGTTTATCGTGGAGGAGGCTGGGAAGAGATGAAGGAAGTTATCTTCAAGTTCCATTTCTACCTAGTGAGTAGATCAGACTCAGTAAAAGAGGGTAAGGGGAGGATGTGACTCAAGTCACCCTTCAAGCTTTATGTGTGTAGGACACCTGGTAGTTTTCAAGAGATTTCCCCAGCTGTCATCTCTGGACAGGTGTCCTCCCTCCCATTTTGCAGGTGAGTAATCTAAAACTCCAAGAGGCCTGGGAGTCCCCAGCATCATATGGCTAAGTGATAGAGCCAAGCCCAGACCCAGGTCTTACACTTTCTCTGTCCCCTTCCTGCAAGGTTGTGGATGAAGGAAAATTAAATCTCATGGAAAACTGAAGTGCCAGGTCTGGTTTTTAAGCTCCACTCTCCCAACACATTCTGCTGGAGAGCTGGTGCAGATAATAAACACCACTACTCAATATTTATGAAACCCAGAGCTTCTGCAAATACATCAGCAGACATGTTCGGTGGAGGGAAGGAATTCTATCAGGAGCTTGCCGCCTGTGCCAGTGGCCAAATGCAAGAGCCTCCCAGAATGCATAAATATTCCTAAGGCCTGCTGTGTGTGTGCGTGTGTGTGTGTGTGTGTGTGTGTGTGTGTGTGTGTGTGTGTGTGTCCCAGGCCAGGTGCCTGTGGTTGACCACACTCACCACCTCAGCCTCTCTCTTCATATTCTTCGTGCCTGCAGGGAAAATAACAGGCAGTATTGAAGTGTCTTAGATGCTAAATTGACCTTAAAATTCCAGCCCCACAACAGGACTTCTCTAAACAGGCTTTAAGCTCAGTCTTACAGACATGGCAAAGAATTTTCCTGTCTGTAGATGTGCTAGTTGACAGTTTTCAATTTTCTTAGAAAAACATACCCACACATATACACACATATATGCACATATGTTGAATATACACAATTTAATTTTTACAACTTTTTCTCAAGTTATTTATTAATACTGGTCCAAGGAAATTAGCTCTCAAGTGGATTTAGAGATAACGAAGAAAGATTGGGTTGATATATTTGTTTATAACAAGGTGATTTTTTACATTCATTTTCTATATTCTTTCTAAAAACTAACTGGAATTGGAAACAATTTGTGAAATTCTGTTATGATCATCTCTCCCCATGTGATCAATAACCATTATAATCAGAACTAGAATCCTGCTTATACGTGCTTTTTGCTTATCGACACATCCCTATGGTTAGAGTGACTAAAGCAAACATTTTTTTTTTTTTTGAGACAGGGTCTAGCCTGCAAATCACTATGTATCACCAGGCTGGCCTTGATCTCACAGAGATCTGCCTGCCTCTGCCTCCATGGTGCTGGAATTAAAGGTGTGCTCCACCACACTTGGCTAAAGCAAACATTTTTTTTTAACTTTAAAAAAAAACTTTATTGAGAATTTCATACATGCATATAAGGTGTTTTGATCAAATCCACGCCCACTCCTTCCCCTCCAATACCTCCCATATCTTGCCATTACTTTTTTCTGACTTCCTGTACTCTTTTTTTTTTTTTTTTTGGTCTTTTTGAGGCAAGGTCTCCGTGTAGCCCAGGCTGGCCTGGAACTCACTACGTAGACCAGGCTGGCCTCGAACTCACAGAGATCTGCCTGCCTCTGCCTCCCAAGTGCTGGGATTAAAGGTGTGCGCCACCACGCCCAGCTACTCTTTGCTACTCTAACATTCCCCACTCAAGAGGTAACCCTAAAATCTTTTAGGGATTAGATAAGAGCTCCCAAAATATACTGTGTTCCAAAGGCAAACATTTTTTAAAAACGTTTTTCAAATCTATGTCCAGTCTTTCCCCACAGCTTGTAGTGGTCTTGAGGTAACAATTCCTGGTCAGAGTCAAGATAAAATACCTTGGGCCTCATACTCTTTGGTGGGCTTATCAATTAACCAGTCTGACCTAATGAATTTTGTGAAAATGATCAAATCCATTACACTCTGAGAATGAAGTGTCACTTGTTCTTTCAGGAGAGGTATCTGTCCAAGACAGAGCATTCACTGTTCTCATGAGAGGTCAGCCCCTCCATGGGCAGCAGTCGGGAGATACTGGTTGTTTGTAACATATGGAGAAGTCCTCATGGGGGGTGGTTAACTGGGTTCCATAGGAGATAGAGCCAGGTGCTAAACCAAGTTAACTGGAGATGACCTTCAGTAGGAAGCAGGCAGGGCCACTGTGTATGGTCCAAGTGGGCCAAAGTTACCAGCAACAACTAATGCTGTGCTTCCCCATCCAAGACACAGATGTGCCCTGATTCCTACTGGATCCTATTTTATTAGCTGGATCCTATTTTATATGGTATATTAGAGTAATCAAAGAACAGAAAACAAACCAAGAGAGCAGGTATTGGACATACCTCCTTTCTTTGCCCTATGGGGGAAAAAGAAGAGCATTAATTAACCAAACCATATTCCACATAGATGTACATATATGATAACATGTGACCTCTAGGCAATTAGATTCCACAGGATAAGGGAACTTGTTTGAAAACGGGCCAGGGATGGGGACAAAAATTAAGTTTAGGCTACTGCTTGCTCTAAACCAAGCAGTTCTGTAACTGATGGCCTTGAACTAGGGAGGGTATAGGGTTTGAACTAGGGAACTATTGCTTCATAAAACTCCAGGGAATACAGATCTCCAGTGAGGCCAAGACCCACCCAGTGGGACCACTAGCCTCTTGTCCCATTTTCCTCCCCAGTAGCTTTCAGAGCAGCAGGCTTGGCTCACAGCAGAGAGGCCAGAGAGCTGGCAAGTAACTTCAGTTTCTCATAACATGAAGAGCTGAACTGGGTGCCTAAGACTCATCCCACAACAACCTTGGATTTGATAATTCTGTGAGGCTCTAATTTTATTCCTTGCTATTTGACAAGTGTTGGCTGCCACATGGTACAGCTAGCTTTCAAAGAGTATAGGTCTGGGTCTGAATTTCTAGTTAGTTTCTTTTTTTGGGTTGTGCCATGCTGAAAACCGTATTTAGGATGTGAGTAGAAACAACCAGGTTTAAGGTGCATATTTAACATTTACTCATAAATTGCATGTAAGTTGCAGTGTCTATTGGGTCACTATAAGTCTTTAAAAAACTTTTATCTAAATCTCATATGTGACACCACCATCCTTTCAAGAGTAAGGAATGACTTTTGTTAGAAACAAGGTGAGTTTTTTTCTTCTTAAAGTCAATTTGTAAGTAGAATCCAAACAAAAATGTCTTTTTAAATTTCAGCACATGCTCAGGGATTTCTCACCTTGAAGTCAAGGTTGCCAATAGCAATGAACTTTCCCAATAAATATGATGAAAATGCAATATACATATTTAGCTAACATCTTATACTTTTATATCTTGTCTTTCATCCAGAGAGTTCAAATTACTCAATAGTTAAAAGTTATTCTTCTAAATTACCCTTATTGTGCATTTGAGTCTTATCATTCCCTTTTGCCACAGAGAAATCCTGAAACACAGAGCTTCCAACTCCCTGAGATATTTAGGCATATAGCTAAACTTGGAATCTAGAATCCCGAGCTCAACTTGATCTTAGTGATGAAGGAAAATATAGCAACATTCAAAGACACTGGCTATGGTGACTGCAGCATTTGCTCTGTGTCAGGAACACTGCCAAGTGCTTTCTTTGCATTTGCTTATTTCATTGGTTGGTTTTTACAAATAAGGAAATTGAAGTTTACAGAGGTTCTCACTTGCCCAAAGTCCAATGCCCAGAAAATGACAGAGCTCAGATTGGAACCCAGACTTTGACTGGCTCTCAACCATTGTGATCTGTCTGTAAGAGCTGCTGAGAATGAAAAACTGCAACTCTGGGAGATGTCGGTGACATTCATAGGTTTTCTCGGTGACAGGTACACGCCTCAGCAGGTGAGACGGGGGAGGAGAGAAGCCTGGCATGTGATTACTGTATGTTTGCATAGGGGTGGGAGATGGGGTCACATGTACAAGAACAGCATTGGTTTAGTGACACAAAAGTCCATGTGAGCCCAAAGCTTACTTCCCTCATTTGTTTTCCTTGCTACCTTTAATTCCATCTCCTCCTCTCTACAGAATAAAAGCACTTTGGGTTCTATTGCTAATCACAGCGGGACTTTTCTGAAGTTTTTATCCAGGGTAAGGTCCCTGAAAGGTTCACAGGCTACTTGCACTGAGAGCCCATCAGGGCTGGGGTAAGCTACCAGAAAAAGCCAATGAGATGGTTTCTTGGCCCCATAGGTGACTAGGTGCCCCAGCCCCAAGGGCAGTTGGGATTCCTCCTCTACATCTCCTCTTCCCTCCTTCAAACCAGGTACCCTGCCTTGTCCAAAAATCCCAAGGAAAGTCCCAGCCCACCAGAACTTACAGAGGTTTCTTGTCCCTCCTGGTCTTGCAGGGACAGTGTCTGTAGATAGCTTTGACCAACAGGACCATCAGGGACCCCAGAAGACCCAGAAGAGCTATGGAGCCCAGAGCACTGATGAAAGGCACATACCACGCAGACCGAGAGTACACATTTTCCCTGAGGATCTGGTAGGTGATCCTGGGCTTGAAGGACAGACAGAGGGAGGGAGGGTAAGTGAGGGCAGAAGCATCTCTGACACTCAGCATTCCCCTGTGTGGAGTGTTTATGCCACTGCTTGCTCCTGTTCTGCAAATTGGACATCTGTGCGCCCATAGTTCTTGTTGCCTCCAGCTCTGGCCTTATTTATAATCTTTGTAAACGTCCCTTAGACAAAACCCAGGAAAATTAGAGAACTGAAAATTAGCTCCTGACTTAATTTCATTCTCTCTCTCTCTTCCTCTTCCTCAAAGCTAAAGAGTATACTGGCTGTTTTTTATGCCATAACACAGCATAATTTGGGGACTAATATAGCCATTGTCTCTCACTGGGAAGGCAAGAGCCATGAAAGCTGTTTTTTAGTTTAACACCTTGTGGGCTTTTAAGTGTTCACTCAATACAGCTGCAACTGCCAGATATGTGGGCTGTGATCACAGTGAAACCTCAAGTTTGGAATCTGCTTCCTAGAGTGGGAGACAGATAACAAATGAGTCGTGGAGATTTCAGGATTAGAAATGTCAGTTAGGTTATGCTGTGAACCCAAGAGACTTGGCAATTCTTAAGGAGAGTCTTCCAGCTCATTCTGCATGAAGGTCTCAGGGTTTGTTAGGAGTTTGAAACCCCCACAGATGGCGCAGTGGGTAAAGGTACTTGCTGCCAAACCTGATGACCTGAGTTTGATTTCTGGAGCCCTAATGGCAGAAGAAGAGAACTGATTCCCACAAGTTGTCCTTTGACCTCCATAAGAGAACTAGGGCACATGTGTGTGGATGTTCATGTGTTGTGAGTGCACACATGTGGTACACATACATACAGGCAGGCATACATACATGAATAAAAATATAAATCTTAAAAAGAATAAGTGAAAACAAAAAAGAAACCACCACAAGCTCATGTGTTGAACTGCTTGCTCCTCCAGCTGTCTGCACTATTTTGAAAGGTTCTAGAAATTTTAGGAGATGAAGCCTAGCTACAGGAAGTAGATCACTGAGGGTGTACCTGCTAAGGGTACACCTGGTTTCTGGTCCCCTCCTCACTCTCTGTTCCCTGTGAGCCATGGGGTGAAGGGCCTTCTCTGCTACATGCTCCTTCTGCCATGATGTCCTGCCCAAGTGGTACAGGGCCAAGCAACCACGGTGAACCCTCTGAAACTGTGAGTCAAAATAAATCTACCCTTTAAGTTGTTCTGTCAGAGCTATGCAAAAGTAACCAACACAGCCTCAGGTCTATACTCACTGGGCTCTAATGACTGAAGCAAAGGGGAGGTGAACGTTACCAGCTCTTAGCAAGACTCTGAGAAGAGGCTAGCCTCCTTCATAGGCAGTTCTCTAAGGTTCTGATTTCTTTCCTCTGGCAAAGCTGACCAGAGGTGTAGCTTTGAGGAAGAGAAGGAGGAGGCAGATAGGGAAGGAGGGAGCAAAGGAGAAGAGCCAGTTCCTTGGAGGAGAGGGAGAGAGAAACCTGCTGTCAGATTCCAAGGCTTTCCCTTCCTTCACAAAACTGATTGCTATGCCACCGGCTAACCTTCTTTGTACCACTTGCCATGATCTATAATTATTTTATTAATTAGCGTACTTGTTTGTAATTTGTCTCCCCTTCTAGGCCAGTGGTTCTCAATCTAGGTCAGTACACATCAGAATTCCCTGGAAGTCTTATGAAAAACACCTGTTTGGCCACACCCTCAGCGTTTCTGACCCAACTGATCAGGACACAGAGTTGAGGGTTCCAAGTTCCAGCATTCCTCCCTGGAAGTCAGGGTGATGATCATGATTGGGTGAGCTGTGACTTCAGTGATTTGCAATGACCTGAGAATCCGCATTTCTAGCATGTTTTCAGGGCATGCTGCTGCTGCTGCTCTAGGGACCTTGAGAAGCTTTGGCCTATACTCTATGCTCCATGAGGGCAGAGATTATTTTTGGCCCGTTCACTACAGTAATGAACACTTACAAGAATTACATCAATATTGGTAGAGTGGATGAAGTGTTTGGAGTGGAGGTGGAGTACAGGGTACAGTTTGGAGCATAGTGACTTGAGAAGAAGTGGAAAGGAACCAGGTGTGTAATCTCAGCACTCAGGAGGTTGAATCAAGAGGACTGTGAGTTTGAGGCCAGTCTGGGTTACATTGCAAATTTCTGTCTCAGAAAAATAGTTGAGAAGAGTGACTGGCAGCTAAGCTACTGCTTTCATGGACCACTGACTTACAATGGTTCTTATGAACAAGCAGAGAAGGGTTGTGAAGGGAGCAACTGGCCATGTGCCCACAGAAATTGGCTCCTGTGTCTCAAGCACCACAGGTGGTTGTGGTTTAAGTCTAAAAATGTCCCCCAAAGGCTCAAGTGCTGTGGGTTTGAGAGGTGATTTGATCAATAGGGTGCTATGTTCATTAATGTGTTAATTCATTGATGAATTCATGTGCAATCGACTATAAGGAGGAGATGGGGTCTGGTTGGAGGAAGTAGGTCTCTGGGTCTGCTTTGAAGAGTATACCTTGTCTATCTCTGGTTTCTTCCTCTCTAGCTCTCTGCTTCTGAGCTGCCATGAAGTGAGCGGTTCCACTCTACCACATTCTCCAGTACACCCTGATGCCCTGCTTCACCTTCTCTGACCTGATGCTCTGCCTCATCATAGCAACAGAGTCAGCTGACTGTGGCCCCAAATCTTTGAAACCCTGAGCCAAAACAATCTTTCCTCATTTAGTTGCGCATCTTGAGTGTTTTGTTGCAGAGATGGAAAGTTTCTACCCCAGTGGTCAATGGCCGATCCACCAGGTGTTCCTGCACAGATAACACTCTTCTTCACTGGGATAGGTCAGCGGCTCTTGTGAGTCTAGGCTCTCGCACGGTCTCCTCTACTACTCAGTGGCCCCTCTAATCCAGCCAATGCCTTAACTTTTTTTCTGTCCATCCCATACTTCTGGGTCAAAGAGCTCCGTTGCTATAAATGCTAAAGGCCTGTGGCTAGAGATTCCCCGGCCCCCAAATCCTTACCCTGGGAGCTGTGGTGATGATTGTGGTCGGGTGAGGAATGACTTTAATACTCAATGTTACTGTCCCTGTTTCAACAAGAGCCCCGGCTCTTGTTCTGCCAGACAGTAAGTTGTCATCAGTTATGTAGACAAGCAGCTTGTAGTCCCAGATCTTATCAAGGCCACCAGCATAGTCAAAGCGGGATGCAAGCAGCAGGTGTGTGATGTTGGAGCCAGAATTAGGAGAGAAGGTAAAATGACTGTTGATGTTGCCTAAGTGAGATTTGACACAAGTGTTGGTAAAAGGAATAAAAAGACTAAAAAATAAAGATTTAGAAGAAAATGGCATTTAACCTTTTCCTCAAATGTTCACACTGTAATTTTGATGTAGCAGAGTTGGGATAGGGATGAACTGCAAGGAATAAATGGAAAAGGACCACATCTCTGTCCTAGTGCCACTGGGTGGAGGTTTAATCATCCTGGTGCAACCCCTACTAGCTTATCAGCCAGCATTTATCTAGTAGCCACACAGGGAACTCCCAATGTGACCATCAAGTGTGCAACAAGAGAGGAGAGCAAGACACATCTCTAACCACAACCCAGTTCACCCTGTGCTTTTCATGGAGCCTGTGTGGCCACACTGGTGACAGGTATCCCTGAAATCCACTAAAGGAAAGTACCTCCTGGCTTTGTAAGGACTGCAGACCCAGGTCCTTTGGAATTTGCACCTTTTCCCTGCTAAACACTCACACAGCTCTGTTGAGGCCCATGATCACAGCCCCAGGAGCCTAGGCCAGGAAGGCTACCAGCCGAGCATGGCTCTTGTTCATCCTCTGGTGTCTCTAGACTCATTACTGTCTGAAAACCAGTAAATGGAGCAGGAGATGATGCAATTTTTACTCCCTCAGCAGCAAAGTGCTCCATAAAGGCCTTGAGGCTCTCGGTATGGATTATTTCCATCCTCAGCAACTGCGGTCTCCAGGCAGTGTCTGCCCCTGGGCTTTGTGACACGGTGGCTCAGAGGCTGCACTGCTGAGTTCCTGCTCTGCCAGGCTCAGCAGGCAGCTAAGACGGATTTCCACTCTTTCGCATGCATGCAATTGCTCTGTTTGTTTGGGTTTGAATCTTTGGCCCCAGCACTTCATTAGACAGCTATTTTGGTCTAATTTCCATTGAGGGGTGCTGTTTTTTTCCACTTCTCCCCACAATGGTATATTTTTAAAGAGAAAAAATGAATGGAGCAGAAGAGAATTGCTCAGAACACGATTCAAAATGTGTTTAATCTATTTAATCTATTCTTATCCTGAGAGAGGCCTGGGATTCCCTTCCCCCATAATAGGCTTTCAGGAAAAGAGGTGGTTGAGGAGTTGAAAAAAAAAATTATACTCATTATATTCTGGGAATTTGAGGAGGTGTACCATTAAGGGGGTTCACCCTTCCTGGGGCCTTGGAGCAGTTATGCGGGGGTGAATCTGGTTGAGGGGGGCCATCTGGGGGAATTAAGTGAGGCAGAAGCTGTCACTGAGAGTTTTGGGAAGCAAAGGGACCCAAGGATTCTTCAGTCCTCCTTCTTCATGCAAAATATGGTCAGCCCACCCCCACTCTGTGCTCAGATCAGTGTGTGAACAAAGACCCACTGTCCCATCCCTCCCTGAAGAGTCCAGAGCTGCTAACACAAAATACAGTACCTGAACCAATGGAATATCGCAAAGATCTGGGACTGGAATCAAGGTCAGTACATGTCAACTTGAAATTCTGAATGTTTGTGCCGACTTTCAGGTCCACTGGGATGGCCATGAAATAAAAGTTTGGGGTACATATCGGCTTCTCATCATTTTCTCCAATGATGTTCACAGTAACCTAGAACAGTGGGAAGATGTTTAAAATGTTCGTTACATTTTATTTATTGTGTATGAAGGGAGGGGCTTATGCATGGATGTGCCATGGCATATGTGTGGAAATCAGAAGACAACTTGTGGGAGTCAGTTCTCTCCTTCTACCATGTAGGTCCCAGGGATCAAACTCAGGTATTCAGGCTCGGCAGCAAGTGTCTTTAGCTGCTGAGCCATTTTGCTGGTCCAAGACGGTTATTCTTCAGAGCTAAATCATACTGAGTGCTCACTGTGTGGGATAAGTACTTTTCATAGATTCACTGAGTTAATCTCATGTGAGAGCGACAAATGTGATTGCTCCCATTTTGTAGATGAAGACAAGGAAGTTTAGAGATAGCAAGTAATTGACCTAAAACCATTCCATTGGTGGGAGACTGAGTTGCGACTTCAATTTAGTTCTGTCCTGCTCTAGATCCTTGCTGTTAGCTTCTCTATAGTGTGTATACACATTCAGGTGTGTGTGTGTGTGTGTGTGTGTGTGTGTGTGTGTGTGTGTGTGTGTGTGTGTGTGTGTGTGTGTGTGTGTGTGTGTGTGTGTGTGGTGTAAGTAAGCACCCAAATCCATAGGTTCCCCAAAATTATATCTGTAAATGGCTTTGGGCTTATGGAGACCTTATATACTTCTTTATGACAGCCCCTTGTGAACTGGAAATTTGCTTTTTAACTTTAGCATATAGTGCAATAGTTCTCAAACCTGGATCCATTTTCTTGGCACTATTTGTAGTCCTGGAGAGGGGGGCCTGGGCACTTTGTTTTTAATGTCCCTCAGTTGACTGTAGCAGCTGGGGCTGAGAATCACGGGGCCTGCTTACACCAGGATCTCACTTATAGCCTGGACTGTCAGCACTGTACTGAGCCTAGAAGCCGACCTGCCACAAACAGGCAGCCAGCTCCCTTTCATCAGTGCCTTTTGGGCCTGGCATAGAGACTGGGATGCCTGCCAGCACAGAATCCCTGAGTGTCAGCCCTGAAAGGGACGTATGTGATCATTTTAGTTCATCAACCTTTTTAAAGGCTTATGAATTTTGAGTCATATTCATCCTACTTTTGAAATTTGGGGATTTCAGCTACTTCTGAGCCTGAGAATAAATTGAAATGTTCACTCTAGTTAGCTCCCAGAGTGGAGTCCATTCATTTCTCTTAAAAAGAAAAAAAAGAACAGCCTAACAAACTGCAAATTATCTCCAACTTTTCTTGGCTTGCAATGCTGAGCCTCACACATCATTGAAAACATCATCCCATTAATTCAAAGCAAGTCACTAGAGGAACTGAACTATTCGGGCATTGGTTTATCATGTGACTTTCCATAGAAATAAGGTCGCAGAGATAAACCTTCCTCATACCCTCTCAGAAAATTGGGAGCATGGCTGAGTGAGAAATGAGCCCATTCTCATTGCAAGCCAGTAACTATCCCTACTACATAGGGCTGCTTTCTGTCAGCCAAAAGTTGCTTGCCCTCACACACCCTTTTGCTTTATTAATGAATCTTTGTGGCCTTCATGTGGTCCTCATGTGGCCATCAGGTAATCCTATTCACTGATCCCATGGATCTATTAGTCCTTCCTGGGATGCTTGTGTACAACATTGACACCACTGGGAAACACAGTGAGGTACAGGGATCTCAGGCCCCAAACACTGCTCACTGAGAATCTGCATTTCACAAGAGCCTTGGCATAGAATGCCTAGACACAGCATCACAGCAGGCACCTGCAGTGGTTTGAATGAGGGTCAGAGATCCATGTGCCAATGGCTTGTTGCAAGCCTGGCACTGCTGTGAAGTAGTGGAACCTGTGGGAGGCAGGGCATTGTGGGAAGTCCATGAGGTCATTGAAAGAGCACCCCCAAGGGGACTGTGGGGCTCTGGCCTGTCTTCTCTCTGCCTCCTGGCTTTCAAGATATGAGCACTATCTAAGACACATATCCCCACCATGATGTGCCACCCTCACCAGGGGTCCAAACAAATGGGGACCTCATCATAGACTTGAATCTCCAGGGTCAGGAGCCAAAAGAAACCTCTTTTTACTTCATCAGTCACCTTCATCAGGGATTTTGTTATTATGGCACAAAGCTGAATAACACTGCATCACTGTACGATCTATTCCACCTGGTATGCTTGGGGGTGGGGTAGAAACAGGCAAGGCTGACCTTCACAAAGAGATTGGGAACTACAAAGCCACCCCACTTCTGGCAGCTAGCCCACCCAATCACTGCCAGCCCACTTTGAAGGCAAAACAAGATTGAAAGGGCCCTCAGAGGAAGCCTGTCCCACAAAGTGGCTTTGTGGGTTCAGCACATATCCCAGTGTCTGGCCATCAATCTTAGCACTTCTACCAATCACCCACAAATGTGGGCCTCAAACAAAGGTGTGAATGTTTATGTCCTGGGCACATAAAGTACTTATTTCTCGCATCATGTACCCATCTTGCTAGGTGAGGGAGACCCTGAGTCAACCAGTTTGGATGACTGTGAAGAGACCCAACAGCCCACACCCACTCACAGTGACTGAACTTGTGTTTTCACCGTTGGTGGCCTTGATTCTGAGTATGTAGATGGGAGTTGTTTCATGGTCTGCTTTGGTTACTAGCTGGAGTTCTCCTGTCTTGGGATTAATCCAAAATATGTTCGAGTACTGGAGGCTGGCCCCTCCGCTGGAGATGGAGTATGTCACGCTTCTCTGGGGGAAGTCTTCGTCAGTTGCCCACACTTGCCCAACCCGGGTTCTAGCTGTAGGAATAAAGTATGATGATCAACCCTGATGGGATGGGGTGATATGGGAACAGACTTTAAGAAGTCTCCTTGCTGATTGATGTCTGTATGTTTTATATCTTCAATTTTATTAAATTCAGATAATGTTAATGAGCATCCAAGAGGTAAATGGGGATGTGATCCAAGCAGTGCTCCATGGTGGAAAAGATATGCCACACCCCTAGAAAAGCTATGGGGCACCCCGTACATTGCTATCCTAAACAGTGCAATGAACTTGCATCCACACACATCCATTTTTGGCAGTAAGTGCTGTTTAAAAACTCATGTTTTTCAAATTTTCTATAATGAGCATGAATTGCAATTTTTAAAGAATATAGCAGTTGATGAATACAGAATGTAGATTTTAAAATTCTGTCCCATTCTGCTTAGTTTATAAATGTTGGTAGGGCTGCTGGAGTTCTGGGTTGCTTGTTTTGTTGAAGTTCTTTCTCATTGATTACAGTAAGCTAAGGCAGAAACCTTTTAACTCAGTTTTGCACCTCAGCACCAAGATTGTGACCCAGAGCAGGTGGCTAAAATCACAGCAGTAAGATTGGTGGATTCATGAAATGTGGGGCCCTGTTGAATGTGTATCTACTGGGGTAAGGAGTTCAAAGTAGTCCTTGGATCTTCCTTTTGTGTTTTGTTTTGAAACTTAAGCACAGGAAACAGACTGTCATGAAGAGAATAAAATGGAGAGGAATAATTTTGGAGGGATTGCTCTGCTTTTGATTTCGTTTTTAAGTGTGGAAGAAGTAACCATGATCTCAAGGTACAAGGCTGGGGGGGGGGCAGGGTCTGTTATACTTGGCAGAATATGCCAGATTGCATAGAGAGCTAGCGCTTATTACTTTCAAACCAGAAGAGATTAGGAGAAACCGAAGCTGGGATCTCTCTCTCTCTCTCTCTCTCTCTCTCTCTCTCTCTCTCTCTCATCTTTTGTTGAGACAGGATCTCATGTAGTCCAGTCTGGCTTTAAATTTACTATGCAGTTGAGGATGGCCTTGAACTTCTGATCCTCCTGCCTCCACCTCCCAAGTGCTGGGATTAAAGGTGTATGCCACCATGCCTGGCATGAAACTATTTTCTTAATGGGAGAATAGTTCCCAAAAATCAAGCTATTGATATGAAAGGGCAGAAAAGAAAGCATAGAGAAGCTCTGTGTGTGTGCAATGCCCATGGAGGCCAGAAAAGAACACTGGATCTCTTGGAACTAGAGTTCAGACAATTGTTAGGTGTCATGTGGATGCTGGGAACTGGGTGCTAGTGATCTTAACTGCTGAGCCATCTCTCCAGCTCCCTGCTCCCATTTTTATTTTAAATGAAGGAAATAGAGAAATGGGGAACCTATTGTAAGATTTCAGTTCTCTGAGTAAGTTGTTTAAAAATGACAGTAGAGTCCAAGAAAGAACTCAGTCCACAATACAGAGGATTAGCAAAATCAGACAAACAGACAAGGAAGCAATCATGGGGCTCAGAGAAATGGGGTTTAATCAACAGTTTTCACAAAATACAGTTTCACCTGAAGGTCTCAGAAGAAGCAAGAGCAATTTTTTAAAAAGAGGTATAATAAACACTAATCAGCAGTGAACCTCAGTGAAAACCCACTGGGGAACTCTGACAGGAGCCACCCCTTTGCAGAACCTGCAGTCAGGTGGCAAGAACCTGTGGTCTGGGTCTTGGCTGTTACCTACCTGGTCTTGTTTCTGACACATCAAATACGTAGGATGGTCTATCAAAGATGAGAGGAAATTCGTTTACTGGGCTTGTTAGGATAGAAATATAGATGTTATCTAAAAATGGAAATAGGAACAAATTGAAACCACAATCCATACTGTTCAGTGAGCATTTTGAAATCATCTGAATGCCGGCACTGGGATGCAGGTAGAGAAGATCTGCTTAAGATGCTTAGCTGTTTGTTCCTTGATAATATAAGCACAGGCCATTATGCAAGTGTGAGATGAGCTTGAGGAGGATTGAGAAGGCAAATGGGGCACTGCGGAATGGGGATGCTGTGGGATGGTATGAATGGGGGATGGTGTGGAATGGGGGACAGTGTGCAATGGGGTACAGTGTGGAATGGGAGGCAGAGTTCTAGGCATGTACAGAAATACCAAGGTATAAAACTCCATGATTCTCTCAGGGCAACTATGAGCTGTTTGGCACAGTTGAAGAAATGGGAACAGGGAGGGGAGGGATGGGAGATGCAGCTAGGGAGTTAGGCAGCAGACAGATGATGGAAGTGCTTGCATGGCAAGCCAAATAGTTTGAACATGAACTTGACAGCTACAGGACACTTTCAAGGAAATGATATAATGACATTTGCATTTCCTGAAAAATCATGAACAGAAATGAAGAAGCTGCATGGAAAAGGAGCAGGACAGAAGACAGAAAGACCCTCCAAACACTCAAGTGCTATTATTCAACCAAGAAAGAGGAGAGGGCTGTTGGAGCCGTTAGTGGAATGGGGAGACACTGCCCAATACCTAGAAATATCCAGCACAGTTAATCAATGATGCTCAAGAGACATGCCATATGAAATAAGTCAAAAGGATACTTGCTTTTGTAGTAAGGAGGGGCAGTGTCTTGCACCTGGATTATCACAGTGTACTTATTCCCAGCTGCTAGATTACTAGGATTTTCATAATCTAGATCACCAATCAGCTAGATCAAAAGAGAGATATTAGATGATATAGGACAAACAGTCCAATTATTGTACTAACATGTATTTTCATACAGCTAGTGGATATGTACATTGTCATCATCCTTTTGGAAAGCATTTTCTGTGCATTTGAGGAACTTGAAGGCATGTGCTCGTCCTTTGTGCACAGCTAGAACTCACCAGCAGAGAGAATCTGTGTCAAAGATGTCCTTCCGCACTATTACCCAACCCACAAAGTTCATACTTTCAATAGTTGAAGAAAAGCACAATACTCAACCTTTTATATAAGAACATCCTCCATTATTTAGCATACTTATACATATACCTATAGTTACAAAGAAACACACAGAAGAGAATCAGGAAAGAAATATATCTAAACATTGACAAGGTTTATTCCTGCAAGGAGCTGTTCTTCTGTGCATCCTGCATTTTCTGTGGTGGACATAGATTAAGAATATAAGAAAAACAGAATTTCCCAAACAATGAAAAATAGAAATTGATTTTGACATGACACTATAGCTCTCTAGGGGTTTGGGATGGGAGGTGAAAAAGGAGGCAGGTTGAGGAAGAGGATGGGGGGTGGCTGACTCCCTTTCCCAAGGTCTTACCTTTGCCATAAATGTCCCTGAGACCCACCCACTCCCTCCTGGCCTTCCTTTCTGCTCTTCTTCCCACACTGTACAGCACCGGCCCTGTGAGTAGCGGCCTTCCAAGGCTGGCTGAGCCCTGTCTTTTGTCTGCCCTTCCAACTCCACCTTTGCCCCGTGTGTGCTTTCTTCATCCTCCTTGCTATACTCTCTGTGGTGTCTCTGGTGGTTCTGTGCTGCAGACTCTATCACGACACACTCACGGCCCTGGTTTCTCTCCCTTGCACCTCATCTGAGGAGTGAGCACAGAAGAGCTTGCACATAGAGGGCACTAATGTATCTAGAACGGCCCACTAAGCAGGCACACAAAAGCAAGCCACGCAAAGCAGAATCCAGTCCTTAGCACCCCCAGCACAGCTCTGCATAATGAATGATGCTGGAGCCTGGGTAAAATAAAGAGCTGTTGGGAACACAGAGCCACTATTAAGTCTGTCAGTTACAGTGGCTCTGAGAGAGGGCTGCCTTGCAAATTTCTCTCTAGGGGTAGCAAAAGCACTCTGCATGTTGGACCAGCTTCCCCGGTGCCCTTTTAATGATGCAATGACCATAAACTGACCACAATTCTCCCAGAGCCAGCTGGATCCTGTGAAAATCTGTGGCTGCTCCCTACTCCAGATGGCATGGTGAAGTTAAATTTGTTGTTTGGAGCTTCGCTGTCATCATCAAAGCAGAACTTGTTCAGGTCCAGAAGCAACGTCCCGTTGGCTGCATTTTCAGTCAGCATAATGCTGGCAAAAAGACACAGTTCAATATTTTCCCCCAACACATGGCAATGGAGTGTGCCTTCTAACCTAGGCCCTAGGCTAGACACCTCTACTTCATTATCAATTGCACAAGTCCGTGGCTATCACAGTATCCTTCTCATTGGTCTCCCCACTGCAGCCCTTGAGTCCTGTCACACTATTTTTAACACAGCAACCAGAGATGTCCTGTTAAGTGTCAGATGGCAGCAGTCGCTGCCCCCCCACAAAGGCTCCCTCCTGGATTCAGTTAACATCCATCTTTGGATTACAGGACCCTCCTCACCTGCTCCCACTTTGTCTCTCTGACCTCATCATGCCCTAGCTCCTCCTTGTTCATGCTCTTCCCACCACACTGGCCTCCTTGTACATGCTACCAGGCTCTGGCCCTGAGGTCATTGCCCTTGCCTCTGAATGCTCCTCCTACAGATCTCCAGAGTACTCCCCAGAGTCCTAGAGAGTAAAGGCTCAGTCCCAGGATGGTGCTATTGGGAGGTGGTAGAACTTTTAAGAGGTGGAGTCAACTGAAAGGAAGTCAGATCATTGGAGGCATGCCCTCAAAGGAGATTGTAAGACTTTGGCCCCTTCCTCTCTTTTGTTTCCTAGCCTTGAGGTGAGTGGCTTTGCTCCACTGTGGGCTTCCACCATGATTTGCTCCCTTGCCATAGGCCCAGATATGCTGCATATTTTGCTTATTTGATGCTTCCACCTGGAATGAAAGGTCAGTGAGGACAGGCATCATTATCTGCTTTGTCCTTTGCATATTCAATGAATATTTGTTGAGTGAATGGATGACAGCATATGACCGCACAGTTATGAAGAGAATTGAGAGAAATATGAATTTCATCCCATGATTGCACAAGATTATAATTTGGTTAGAGAAAATCCCTGGAGCCCTGCATCCCTTGTCTCCCACTCTTGAAAGATTGGGAATTCCTTGATTTTTGTTCTAGCAGCCTCAGTGTCATAGACAGACATCTCAATGCTTAAGTGTTGTTGACATGAAACACAGTTCTCACTTCAAAGGGAATAGAAGATAGTTTATTTTGGAGCCAAATAGGAGTGACCATGGCTTGGGAACACAGACTCAGGTTTCCCCAGATACCATGTAATACTGTGAAAGTGTTTACATAACATTTTATTAGTTACAGAACAAAGAAAATCATAAATCAAAGTGTTTACCAAACACATGGGTGGGAGAGCCACAGGTAGGTGAGTTACAGCAAAGTGGGAAAGGGTTTCCCACTTCATAGGTTTCAGATGCTATCTGATGACATTCTTTGCTTTTGGATTGGTGGAAGCTCACGGTCTGCTAAGAATATATTGTAAGGTTTTCATAGTCTCACAGATGTTAAGTCAGACACAGGGGCAGTCAATGAATGGCTTTCAAAGGGACCAAAAATAGCCCAAGATAATTTAACTGGTCTGCAACATCTTAATGTGTTAAAACACAAAGTTCAGTCATTTGTCCTTGAAGAATCTTTAATGCAGGTGCAGCTTTTCTTTCTTCTCTTTCTCTTTCATTGAAAAGACATTTATTAAGGGTTAAATTTGAGGTTCCCATCCTCAGCTCTGGTCCGGCCTAGCTTGGTGAGGGGAAATTGAGGAAGGTTAGCTACCAGAGGCTTTAGTTCCTAGAGGGTTATTATTATGTCTCCAGTTTCACAATGGGCACTAGCTTTTGCTGTATAACACACCTGCCCCAAACTTGATGACCTGAAACAACATTTCTCATGATTCTATGGGTGACCTGGAAGCTCTTTTGGTTCTGGTTGGATGTGGCTGGTCTCTTTGGTCACTGGTAGTTGGGCTGGGGCTGGAGGTCTAGGGTGGCCCTGTTCATAGGACTAGAGGTTGGAAGGTCTATTAGTTACTTTTCTGTTGCTGTGATAAAATGCCATGACCAAAGAAACTTAGGATAAGAGTCCATCATGGCAGGGAGGCATGTTCGCAGAGGTGGCTGGAGCAGAAAGCTGGCACTCACATCTTTAAGCAGGCACAGGAATCAGAGAAAGAGTGAAACTGGAAACAGGACATGGCTATGGACTCTCAAAGTCTACCCCCAATAATGTGCTTCCTCTAGCAAGGCTGTATGTACCTCCTGACAATTCCATGACCTTCCCCAAACAGTACCACCAAATGGGGACCAAGTGTCAAATACTTGGAGCTTCTGAGGGACATTCTCATTCAAGCTACCACAGAAGGCAGTTGGACTTTAATTTATTATATTTATTGGGGTGTGCATGTTTGAGTGCATAGGGAAGTTGGAGGACATCCTGTGGGAATTGGTTCTCTCCTTTCACCACATGTGTCCTAGTGATCAAACTCAGGTTGTCAGGCTTGGCAACAAGTACCTTTGCCCACTATGCCATCTTTCCAACCAAGTCTCTGCTTCTTGATATCCTTATTGTCTCTGAGGCTAGCCTATGATCCTCCCATGGAGATCTAAGGGTTCCAAATAGCAAGAGAAGGCAAGGCCAACACACAAGCACTATCTATATAAAAGGCTCCATTGTACCATGCTTGTGAATGTCCCAGTGGCCAAAGCAATTCACATGGTCAAGTCCAGATTCGCATAGAAAGATCCAACCCTCACTGGGAACAAAATCACATTGCAAAGGGATATCACACAGAAAGGAATTTGTGGCTGGTGTTTGCTGCTGTTGGTGGTGGTGGTGGTGGTGGTAGTGGTGGTGGTGGTGGTGGTGGGGTGTGTGTGTGTGTGTGTGTGTGTGTGTGTGTTGGTTTGGCTTGGTTTTGTGATCTATCTCAACAATATTTTGCCTCAGCAGAATTTTACAAAAATAGATGTGGCTGCTAGGAAAATGTGGCTAGAAGACCTTCAACCACAGAACTGTAGCCAGCTATAGGCGCAGCGGCCAAGCTCTGAAAGTCATCCCTAGGATCGCAGCGGCCATATGCAGGGACTGGGTGTGGCAGACACACTAAGACAGGACCAGGTTCACCCTGTCCTGTGAACTCTGACTGGCTGCAGGCCTCCTGATGCCTTAGCATGGCAATTGAGAGCATCTATATCCCTTTTCCCTCCCTTCTTCACTCAGCTACTTCATTCCTGTCTGATGGCCCTGCCTCTTTCAGTTCATTCTCCTCCATTTGCTCCCACAGGCATTCCCCTAATGAAAGCCTTGCACATCCTATCTGGCGTCTGGTTCTCAGAGTGCCCAGACTATCATGTGTAAAGTCTTCATATCCTCAGTACCACTCTACAGCCAAAGTATGCCCCTTCTACATGCCATAGCCTCTTCTTGTGGCAGCTAAAATGGGCCCAGAGTCAGCAGTTATGGAGCAATGGTGGTGTTGAGCTGGGGCAGATAGCATCTGCTTGCTAGAAAGAAGGCAGGTTTCCCCGTGTCTCCACAAGCTCTCCCTGGCAGGGAGTACATCTGCATTTCAGGAGGACTGGATTCAGAGTTCTTGCTCTTGCCTTCACTGCATAGTGCCGCGGTTTTAGTCATAGGTACTTAGAATAGGCACCACTTATTAAATGCCAACTGTATGCTGTGCCATCCTAAGTGCTTTAAAAATACCTCTAATTCTTTTATCTCTGAGATGTTTGTATTCTTGTTCTTATTTTACAGGGGAACAAAGAGTGATTCAGAGGGATTTCAAATCTTTTTTAAGAAAGTTAAAGTCTCCAAGCTTGATTCTCTATTGTCTATGTTAGGGTCATTGTAAACTTTAAGTTCCATCAATAATATCCAGACCATGGATGTGTGGGGATCTGAGCTTTGATTACAATCCTGCAGAACTTGAGAACAGTATCACCTGAAGAATCCAGATTCCTGAAGCTGGACTGAGCTGCTGTGTGTGTGTGCGTGTGTGTATGTGTGCGTGTGCGTGCGTGCGTGTGCATGTGCATGTGTGGTGTGTGTGGTGTGTTATATGTTGCAGGAGATCTACCCCAAGGTCTCTTGCATGCTAAGCAAGTGCTCTGAATGCCATCAACAATCTTGGCATGTTCTCTCATTCTTCCCTAACACTTGGTATTTTTCCCACAAACATGCTATTTGGAAAGCCACCTCCCTTCATTCATCAAGCCCTGCTTCTAAGGAGAGGTGCTGTCCTCCCTCCCAGTTATCAGATCTGTGGGGCCCTCCTTGAGCAAAGGTGACTGTGTCATGAATTGTCTCTTGTTCATGAACAGCTTGCAAAGTGCTTTCAGCCAAATGCCTGACAATTTACAACCCAAACAGAGCTATAGCAGGGCCCTCTACTGGGGCCCTGGTTTCATTCATCACCAACCTGGGAAAGCTATAGGCCCTCAGTGCAAGAGGCGGGAACCTCCTTCAGGCTGCCCTGCTCTACCCACCCACAGCCTGAGCCTCCAACTACCCCCAACTGCTGTCAGTGAATGCCGCCACCCAGCCCACTTGCTCTTCAGTCTATTTGTAGAAACTTTAAAAACCAGAATATTCTAGTGTAAATATCAGAAATTCCAGTGGCACCATTTCTGTTGTCCTGTGATTTTGTTCTGTTTCCATGCTTGGCTTTGCCACAGTAGGGATGGAGAAGGAATTAAGGCTAGGATGGTGGTGAGAACGGGTCAGGCTTTCTTACCATGGATCTGGTATGTTCAGAAGCCACAGTATGCACAGGCTAAGCTCTTGGAGTGGAGATTTCCATTTCCGGGTTTAGAAGGAAGAGGCTTTTCACAGACCCACCTCCCTTCTAGGCTTTCACAGTGCAACCTGAGCATTGTTTAGAGTTAGCTTCAGTTATAAATATAATCAGGGAAGTTACTGACTTAGTGCAATGGCCTTCAGGGCTAATTCGGAGACAGGATCAAGAACAGGAGTCTCTATGGGCTTCATGGATGGTCTAGGACATTTAAAATGTGATTTCACCAGCTGATGTGGAGCACAGTCTGAAAACTATCCTTCCACCACCTCAGGGGGACTCTGGACCATAGGAAGCCAAAATTTTCAGTGAACAGGAATTCACCAAAAGAGAGAAAACAGAGGAGGGGGCTTGCGACAGCACAGTCTGCTCCAGGCATTGATGCTCCTCAGAGCAGGAGAACAAAGAAGAGACAGAAGGCTCTTAGAAGGATAGGATAGGAAGAGAGGAATTTCCCAGGATACACTGCAGCCACTCCAGAGGGCTGGCATAGATATAGATTTTCAAGGAAAGTATGTGACTCTGAAAACCTCTATTCCATCTCTAGGGTCCAGGCTTCCCTTAGCAGAGGATGAGTTTAGTTTATGCATGTGGTGGTGTGGAAGTCACATTCTAATTACCTGTGGTCCCCATCCATGTTCATCTAAGAGATTGAGGGACAGGAATGCTTAGGTTGGGAAAGAAATCTACCCATGGAGTCTGACCTGTGGCTGGGTCAACTATGGGCTCAGCAGGAAGCAGATGGCAAATGGGGATAATTCTAGATTTCATAAAGAGAGGATTACAAAGGGGTACACAGGGCTGGATGGAAATCTCAAGGAGTAGTGCCATCCCTCAGGGCTAATAAGAGTAGCTCATCCTTACTACCCAGAGCCCCTCAAGAGCCAGAAGAAGTCCCTGAAACAGAGACTGCTGTGTGTAGAGGGCTGCCTTATTAGAGCTTAGCCCTTCAGAGAGTGGAGAGGGCACTGGCAATAGGGAGGGAGCTGGGGATAAACAGCCCAGCATCACTATGCTCTTCTTCCAAGGGCTTCCTACTGGCCAACAGAAGGTGGAAGGCAAGGAAGATAGTGGGTGCTGGTAGAGGTCAGCCTTCTGGGGTGCAGGGCAGGGTGAAGGGTGCCAGATGGATCTGGGATGTGTCCAGAACAGACTCAAAGTTATACTGATCCTCTAGCACTCTGCAGGGCATGTCAGTTAGGGTAAAAAAGGAGCTAGTCATAAACATAATAAAGGCATTTATTAGCTATCACTTACCCCCAGATAGTCTTTGTCTAGATCTTTTTGTTTTTTGCATGCCGTACTATGTACTGAGTCTATCCAAGGTCACCTAGAGCAAGCTTGCAAAACCAGTTAAAGTTAACCCAAGAAACTTTTCCCATAGGGCTGTCAAAACAGAGACCTGCTCTGGTCTTCAGTCTCACTCTAGATGCAGGGCAAGTTGCCTACAAAAGTCATTGCTGAGATGCACCCCCTCCCATGAAAAAAATGCCCTCTTCAGACTTCCAGAGACTGACTAGCATGGAGACCACAGATCTGAAGCTAATGTGGAAGAATTCCTAATTTTGTGTCTTTTGGACAAAATAGAGAGACAAAAAGGTATAGCAAGTCAGAATAAAAAGGACTCCATTTTACATTATCATGAATTAATTGTGAGACAAAGAACAAGTCAAAATATAGAAAATAACTCATATCCCACTTATATCTGCATTTTCTCTTTTGTTTATATGCAATTAGTTGTGCAAGGTGAATTAGATGCTTTGTTTGTTTTACGAAAGTACTTGGTTTGATTTATTCATATTATCCGCTGTAGGTTTCTTTGGGAGTTCCTAGTTACTAATCCTGACTCTCAAACATCTATTGCAACTGCTAACTAACAGCATCATCTTGCTTTTGGTGGCAATAAATAAAGAAAAGACACAGTCCAGAGAGAGTCTAACAGGTCTCCATGGGACTTTTCATCAATGGAACAAAACAAAAAATAATTCTAAATACAGTTCAAAAGTGGAGAAAAGAAATAATGAAGAGGAAAAGAAATGAAAGAAGGAAGGAAAGAGAGTAGCAAAAGGAAGACCCATGGGCAAAATTGGACACCCCTAATCTAATTTTTGTAGTGAGTCATTCCCCAAATGCCATCTTTCTTCAATTCCTCCTGAGCTGTATCAGGGAAGCTGAGAGGTTAAGGGCCACATAGGGAACATGTTTCAAAACACAACTACCTGAAGGTGAGCTTTCTGCACATTGCAGGGTTGTCATTGATGTCTTCCACAATGAAGGTTATCTGCATGCGGTTCTCCTGACCTCCGGAGGGTCTGTCCTTCACCAGAACTTCCAGGGAGATGGTAGGATTCTGTCTTAGTTCACCTGCATCTCGGTCTAGCCTCTGGGCTACTTGGATCGTCCCAGTCACTAAGAAGGCAAAAGTTAGAAGGCCAATGAAGACCAAAGGCACAAAGAACCCGGAGAAGCCAGGAAAAGACCATTCTAAACAGGAACTGGTTCACACTGTGAATGTCTTCCATATATATCTTCTTAAAAAGACATGTGAGTGCCTCTATATTGGAGCACCTGAACTGATCCTTCTAGAAAGTTTCACCCTAGACTTCAGAGCTGAGTTCCTGCTGCAGCCTTGTCCACAGCTGACAGGACTGGTGGAGAGCTGACTCTCCTTGGCCCATTGGGTTCTCTTATTGGAGAATTGTAGCCGAGAAACACATTGGAGAATGAGTAAGGCTAACAGTGGAGCTACAGGGAAAGGACCAGAACCCTAGCTGCTAAGATCCCTGGAGCAGTGCTGGTGCATACCCCTCCTCCACCCTGATCACTTGACGCTTTCTGATGAGATGTGCCTCTTTCTTTCTTTCTTTCTTCCCTCCTCCCTCCCTCCCTCCCTCCTGTCCTTCCTTCCTTCCTTTCCCTTTCTCGTGCTTAATTTGATTTGTTTTCATTACTTGGAACCAGAGTCTTGATTAAAATGTATGGGGAGGTATTTCAGAGGAAGAATGCTTGTCAAGCATACACAAGGCCCTGGGTTCACTCTCTAGCACTATAAAAAGCACTGTACTTGTTAAAAGCTCAGTTTTTGCTGGATATGCATGCCTTTAATCCCAGTACTAGGGAGGTGCTGGCAGGTGGATCTCTGTGAGTTCAAGGCTAACCTGGTCTACAGGGTGATTTACAGGCCAACTAGGGCTGCATAGTGAAACCCTGTCTCAAAAAAAAAAAAAAAAGTTTTCAATTTTGCAACACTGGAGTGAACAGAATTCTCAACCAGTGTCGTTCATCCCCACACTATTAATTATGGGAGGTCCTCGATATCAGAGGATTTAAAAGGTTCCAGAGGTAGATCTGTTACTGGTTTTGCCAGCCCATCCTTCTTCCAGCCACTAAATAGGTAAACCTATGGGGCAATAACACAGGATCTTTCTGGGGTTGTTTAAGGCTGGCCTCCCACAAAATCATTACATAATGTGAAATCCTTTGTGGTGACATGGCCATGATTTATGGAGGTAGGACAGTCCAATGACCAAGCAGACAGACTCTGGAGTCATCTGGCTTGGATTGGTATCTCTGCTTCACAACCTATGAGCTAGGGACGTTGCACAGACCACCAAACCTGTCCAGCTATCCATAGGCCCTATCTGTCATTGTGAATGGTGAATGATGTCAGTTATTGGGTTGTAAGTACCTGGGGTGGAATTCATGTGGATCACTCAGATAATGCCTGGTAGATGTAAAGTCTCCACTAAGTTGTCTGTTACAGAAGGGAGGTAGCTCCTTCTCTACACTGAGCTACTCACTTGGGAAAATAGCTGCCAACAATACAGCAAGTTGATCTAGAGAGACTATGTCTAATGTATCATTACTAGTTATTTGCCCTTGAAATGGGACCAGTCTGAATTGAGATTCACTTTAAGTATAAAATACACAACAAACGCTCAATAGTCGATACCAAACAAAGTAATATAAAATACCTCAATACTTTTAATTATTGATTATGTTGAAATGGTAATAATGTGAATCTTGGGACTAATTTTATTTTTTTAATGTGACTACTGGAGACTGAAATTATACATCTGCTTTCATTCTACTGCAGCGCTGGTATAGATCCTCTCTTCAGTATCCTTGAGAAGGTGAGGATGGGGCAGGAAGCCTCTGCACCCTCACAGGTCCACCTTTCTCAGAAGTGATAGGGCTTAGGGCATGCTACCCCACAACATGGGCCCTTGGCATTTCAGATGAGGGCCTCTCGGCCCTTCTGTCCTTCTCCTCTGGAACAAGCCACCAGACCTTCATCTGAGAGATGCCTCACCTAGGCCCAGAGGAAAAGGGCATCCTCATTTAGGAAGACAGAGACACCTGAACATCAGGCCCTGCTCAGTTCCCCCCAGTTTCATACACTTGCTTCCCTAGCCATAGCAATCACTTCACTTTCTCATTCAATTGAGCATAAAAATTGCCATTTTCCAGCCAGGTGTGTACTGTAATCCCAGCACTCTGGAGGCCGAGGCAGGCTATGAGTTTGAGGCTGGTCCAAGCTACTTAGTGAGTTCCAGGCCAACCAGAGCTGCAGATCAAGACCTTGTCTCTAGTTAATTAATAATAAATAGAAGCTGGAGAGATGGCTCAATGGTTAAGAGCACTGGCTGCTTTTGCAGAGGACCCAGGCTCTCTGTACTTGCATACATGCAGGCAATACACTCATATACATAAAATATGCCTGCATGTACGTGTGCCTGTATTGTGCAGTGGTCACAGAGGTCAGAAAAGGGCATTGGATCCCCCAGAACTGAAATTATGGATCGTTGTTAGTATCCATGTAGGTGCTGGGAACTGAACCTGGGTCCTCTGAAAGAGCAGTCAGTGCTCTTAACTGTTGAGCCATCTCTCCAGTCCCAAAATAAAATTAATTTTAAAATAAGTAAAAAACAAATAAAATAAAATATAGTTTCCCCTGTATCATTGAGTCTTCATTTCTGAAGTGTCCTCTGTCATAAAACAACTGAAATAAGTATTATGCTTTTTTTGTTAATTTGCCTATTGTACACATAGGTATAGATATTCGAGTTTTATTTATAAGGGTCTCAACTATGATCTTAATGACAGGTGAGAAAAGAAATCTACCCCCTTCCATAAAGGTGAAGGGTAACCTATCTGTTTATATTTTGTCCTGATCAGTCTCCACAACCCTGGTGCCCGCTGCCTTTAATACATCTCTTCCCTGGCAACTAAGGATGAGCCTAAGCAGGAAGGCAGGCCCCAAGCCAGAAGACAGCTAAAAGCATTGTAAAACCACTCACGTGGCTGCATTAGAGGACACAGGATAAGGTGACTCACACTGATCTATCACAAAATAGCTGCTGATGGTAGTGATGCTGTAGAGGAGATAGCTGGGAAAGCCGGTGTCATCAGGATCCACTGCCGTGATGTTTGCTACTATGGTTCCTGGTCGCAGTTCCTCTGGAATGGAGTATACTCTCCTTGGACTGGAACAGAAATATCATAGATGTGGCTAATTTGCAGAGACAGGGAAGGGTGCATTCTAGGCAGTGGTTATTTCGGTGAGTGCTAAATATAGCACTGAGCTGCTGGAGTTGCATCAACATGCGTGGAGTACATGGCAGCTGAAAAGAGGGGTGGCTGGCTTTTGTATTTCCAGAGATCATATCCTGGTGGATGCAAAAGAAGTTCCAGGCTGTTACTGCAGCAATTTCCATGGGCACAGCCTCTGATTATGCATGCCTGCCTGATGCCATTTCCTATCATTAACATCCTTAGCATAAAAATATTTCAGCTACCTAGTCAGCTTCTCTCCTCCCAATTTTTGTTCAAAAGTTGCCTGGATTCTGTTAAAAAA